GAAGGGGAAGCTAGGAAACGCGACTGTGGTAAATTTGTGTTATGTCATACGAGTATTAAGTGGTGCAGCATATTCCGTTGCGTTTTACTATAATTCGTAAATCATAGCCCGTGATGAGATGCAGTTATCGATTATGTAGAAATGTTTCTCAAGCATGAAACCTTTTACTTTAACTTAAATTGAAGACATTAAATAGGGTGTGAATTCCAGCTCACATTGGTGACATTGACGACAAGACTGAGGAAGTAAAATAGACATGCTTATTAAGTTGCCAAGTTAAATGAAAACATCAAAGTTGTTGCGCAAAGGATGATGCATAACTAGTTTAAGCAGAGCTATCGCCTGCCAGGTGTCTAACCTTTTATCAGTTCTTCGTAGGTAAGACTAACGCTTTCATCCAGAGCATCCTTTGCGTTCGTGGATGAGTGGCTGCGTGTCACCAACAGCCGATCATCATATTAGAAATCGGAGCGAGGCGAGTCTAGGACGGTGCATTCATAATCAAGCAATCTTAAATCTTTTCATCGTTGATTGGTCAATGGCGCTAAGAGAGGTAGAAGCCTAAAAATGCCTTCGAAGATGGAGCTCGTCTTAACTTTGTATTACGGATGCCTTGGCATATTTTGAGGGACATGAATCATAAGCAACTTTAGTTGACAAAACGTTAGAAACGGAGCACCCTCATCACAAATCCCTAATCTACGAAACAAATGGAACTGCGTACAGGCTTCTGGTTCCAATCCGCCACTGCAAAATGGCCTTTTCCGCACTGAAAATTATGTTATACCTATGGATCAAAACAATGTTTCAATACCAAAGCTTTGTAGCGAAGCGCCTAAAAATAATCACCGAAGCCAGGAAAGCTCTATATGAAAATCCATTCAATCCCATGTGTAGGTAAATATGTTGAGTGTCCGAAAGCTACTTCAGCCATAGACTCGGACCGCAACTAATCGAAGCTCATTTGATCCCGGACTGTGACGGAATGTGCCATTTAAGTGATGGGGAACCCCATTTACAGCAAACGCTTCAACTACACCTTACAGAAGCCGTGCATCCATATACTGCATGTCTATGTAGCATGGCGGCCCCCTCCATTTCCAGCGATTACATGCGATGCATACCAAGGCTAGAGCTTCTGTGCAGGGGTACTGGTTATATGACCCCGTGCAAACACTGGTGTCAGGTATATTCAGTCTGGCAAAACAAATTATCCAGGCTTCAGGTCTAATTGCATACTGGGGCATGCTGCATTGATCGAGTGACAGCATTCAGCACGAGTGTTCGGAACGCGTCATGATAATTGACTGATAAAAATGTCAGATTCTGCACGCTGCGATCTGGTACAAAACAAATTGTGCGTTTGCTATGATTAATGTCTATATCAGAGCAACTGAGATTAACAAGCGGGACCAGCTTGCAGAAAAATAACATAAGCAGGGTTTCAAGTCGGAGTCGGAGTCACCTGGAGTACCGCATCAACGACGCAGGAGTCGGAGTCAGAGTCGTCGAAGCTGCCTAGACTTCGACTCCGGAAATGTAAATGCAAATGTATTTCAGCAAATGTACGTGTATATTAGCAATGAGCCATGGCTTGCCATGACGTTGGTGATTAGGCACGCACCCGTGTCGACTAATTTTACGTATATTTTGGTTCTACATGAAGTTAAATTAAAATAGACTTCGATCTCACATCACAAGTTGGTATGGGTCATAGCCACTTAAGTATTTTGTTGCTCATCTCGAACCAAGCAGCAGCTCTTCTCCGCAATGAGGCTACTGGCCTTCGATCTATCGGTATCGGCTCAGGCAGGAGGCCGTCGTTTCAAATGAAGCGTCGTAGCAATAAAAAAACAGCGGATTAAGGCAGTGGAGATGTCTCAGATGGGCACAGAGTTTCACCATGGCATAGATCAATAGGTATTTAGCCCTAGTCATGGAAGGTGAAAATTAATTACTATATTTTCGTTTTTCAAGTGTCGACAATCTTACATGATCCGTTTTTGTTTGTTGGTTTCTTTTTTACCAGGCCAGCAGGGAATGCCTCAAATAATGCTGAAAATTTCAGCAGACTGCGACAAAGTGTGCGGCAGTCAGCTAACAAAACGCTGAAGAAGGGCTGCGTCAACTTCCTCGCCTTTACAGGCGAAGATTAGGATTACGGCCATGGCAGTGCACTTTCTTTTTATTTCACTTCAGTTGCTCACCATATCAGCCCTGGTACCTAAACGTCATTTACGGCCAAAGTCGCAGGACGTCAAAATACACGTCTTGAGTTCTTGACAAAATTAGCTCTTTTGCTAAGGTACCAATAAGATAAACAAATGTGAGCATTCAAACCGTCTAAAATGCTAGGGAGAACAGCAGTCTTCACATACCTTATAGCACAAGACCTAATGCAACACCTAACACAACTGCAGGTCTGTTGACGCTGACCCAGAGTCGGAGCCGCCCAAAAGTCCGGAATCGAAGTCGGAGTCGGAGCAACGCTACCGCGACTCCAAACTCTAAAGCCCTGACTATAACTGAAAGGAAGCCTGAATAGCAAGCATCAGAGCTGAGGCCATGTATGGGTAAAAAATAAGCAATTTTAAATGAATATTGAAGAACCAGCTACACGGCACGTCATTCAGATAACCACTTCTACGATGTCGAAGTGCTGACGGCTGCAATCTTTAGAGCTGAGATAAACGCAAAAAGAGCCCAATCAAACGAACAGCGATCTGAGCCCGCCACCATTCCGTCGAAACTCTTCAGCGGGATGTCATTTCACGAAAAAGCCGCTCTCGCAAACTTGAGAGACAGGATCGACTCAAAAGAGCGGCTTCATAAAGAGAAGGTTTGTCAAGGCTATTCATAAACTTTTACAAGGAGCTTTCTAAAGATAAGAAATAAAATCACTCCCAAGAAAAGAAAAGCAATGAAGTTAATACCATAAAACGAAGCTGTGAAGTTTGGTTACCTGTCTATGGTCTAAACTCTAAGTAGGTAATATATGTATGTTTACGTCAGCTCATCGCCAACAACTGCTAGACAGTTCACGCCCGTTCCATCGCTGTTTCGCGACCTTTCGCAGGGTTGGCCAATCGTCCGAATGGGGTACCCAATATTCTTGTAGTGCACGGTGTAGCCATTCATTTCGCGGATACCGCCCACCGCCCCACCCACACGAGCCACCGGACGGGCCAATTTTAGCCACCGTCGCCTACAACAGCACCTCCGAGACGGCGCACGGGGTTCGGCGCGCGCCAAAGTGGCGGCGTCTGTTACCGACTGACAGGCCATTTTTCGGCCTGCGCGTGTCAGCCGGGGCCGTTACGAACCTCGTCAGCGACCGGTGCGTTCCTCGGCAGGAGAGGGGCGCCGGAGCGCCGGGCTCGCGCGCCAAGTCGGCCCCGCATCCGGCCGGAGGTCATCAGGGCTGTGCGCGACGGCACCGGCTCCGCCCCGGGCTCCCGGGCGTGACTCCGTCCGGACCTGACCCGGCCTGAGCCGCCCTAGAGCCAGGCCCGTGCCTACCCCAGCCCCCCCTCCCCCCCACAGCCATGCCCCCTCCCAGACCAGTGCCCGCCCCAGCCGTGCCCGCCCCTCCTCGGCCGTGCTTCGGCACGCCGCCGGCACTGATCCGGCCGCGGCACGCGACTGCCGGAGCTGGGGAGGGCGGCCGTCCGATTTGGCCCCGGCCGCGGCACCGGCCGACGTCAGCGTCAGTCGAGCTGTCTCGGCAGGACGGCCCGTCTCGACACAGTCCGTCGACGCGACTGTCGGCTGTCGTCGCCGAGATCAGAGGAGTTCAGTCGACGGAACAGTCGCCGACGAAAGGCAGGGGTTGTCGCAGCCCATACCAGATGAGACTTCAAACTGAGTGGAAACTGACTGGATAAATCATCAAGCTGGCACTAGAATATGCAATTACACGAAGCTTCTTCGAGACAAGAGTAGCTTATAGAAAACAAGTAGAAAATGCTTGCACTTCGCTGGTCTTTCAGTTCAGGCAGCGTTTCGTCATTCATTTGTAGACAACCTGACTTTTACTCTCAGCGTTTTTTTTTTTTTTTTTGCTCTGCTCTTATCAGTTCAAATCGACAAGGCGGTTCACTCATCCCCACTCCAAAATAAACACAGAAGAACGCTTCTTTTTAAGATGCAAACGGGAGCGTGAATAACGTTGTTGGCAGAGCTGACAAGCATGACAGAAACCGAACATGCCTGGCTTCCACTAGCAGGTTATCAAAGATAAAAATAAACAGGAGCCTATCTCAGAGGTGGAAACTTCGTGAAATACTTTCACGACGCTTTCAACCTAGCGAAAATGTTGTTTCATCTTCTGGAATACCAAAGAAGTAAAAAAAAAAAATACTACAGACAATACCATTATCAACAACAAAGTCACGCAAGTCTTCCCTTCCTTACCCGAATTTGAATTAATCCTTTGATAAGTCACATCTCTGTCTCCATTCAACCAACTTTGTCAAACCCATCTCGTCATAAAAACATTATTCAAACTTCTCAAGATGAACATTAATCGTGAATTATGAATTATGATCAATCTGTTGGTCGTGTTTTACCACAACTTGCCCCATAAAATGCTCTCACCGGAACGAATCAATTTCATTCTACGCACACTGTGCGTAAGCTTCTAGCGATGATCAAACAATGCAAAGCTTTTCTCATAAAAACGAAAGTTCTTCACAGAAAACTCATAAATTTGTCTATTGACAGGATATTTTCCCCGAACATTTAGACTTTTCTGCATCACTGGATGCATATTGCATAACCACTGGAAGGTATCTTTTTTTAGGAAAATATTGCTAACAGCGTACAGCTGGGGACTGGGAGCGAACGTAGGTACTCTTTGAAGCCTCATGCAGTTTATAAATGCGGCGCTACTCGCACTAACAAATGAAACAATAAATATGTACACGAATTGGTTGTATCACCCCATCTTTCCAAAGCGCGTCACTATCCCAAAATCTGACCATTCTCTCCCTGTTTGACAGATTCATCTCTCAGACAAATCGGCACACATCAGCGCCAGCTCCAGTCCACCGTTCTCTGACGTCTTGTCGTCAACGCACCGTTCCATCACCCAGCCATGGACGCGGCGTCTGCCAGCGATTCCGGAGGCGGAGACGGGGGCGGCGGGGGCTGGAACGTCTCCACCTCACCCGCGACGGTCACCGAAGACGCAGCCAGCTTCCTTCGTCGCACCATCGGACCTCAGGAGCTTCCACTAGACGTGGTGCTGCCCATCACTGTTGTATACGCCCTCATCTTCGTCACAGGCGTGATTGGTAATGTGGCCGTGTGTCTGGTGATTTTCCGTCACCCGGCATTGCAGACAGCTACCAACTTCTACCTCTTTAGTCTGGCGGTGGCCGACCTCACTGTGCTCGTGCTAGGTGAGAACTGGCGGGGGACAGGGGAGGGGAGGGACGGGGCGGCTAGATTACTCCACTAAATAACCCTTATAGTGCTGAGATTGCTGGGACGAGATAATTGTGGTACACGGTGGTTGTTGAAATGGTCGAGAGGGGAGGGCAACAGCAAGTTGAAATGAAGCCAAGGGAAGTACTCGTAGTAGGAATGGGTGATGCTCAAAACAAGACGGGCTCTTCAAGTGCAAAAGCAGTCTAACTATGCTGGAGAAACACGATACAATTCAAATAAAAAGCTGCAATAAGTGTTGACATTCATACATTTGTACCAAACTTGTATTTATTAGCTAGGATTACTAAGCAAGAAAATTCACTTGCAAATATAGAAATAAATGTGGCCCTTCTCAGTCCTAGTACATCCGCAGCGAACGCTGTCGCTCGATCTACATAAGATGGTCATCTACATACAATCATGGTCTCTCACGGTGGTTGTTCCCAAGCGGTATAGCATCAATAGCGGAAGTCAGTCTGACATTAACCAAGCTGTAACCGTCGACTGCCCATAATCCCAGCGGCTTCATCCGACGAGCCAGGATGACCATTTCGCCGTGACCTTATGGTCCGAGGTTTCCAGTGCATCGAGAATCAAAATGATCGAACTATTTTATATATTGTTAAAACAATCAACGAAAATTGGAATGTTCGGGCTTGCAGGCCCTTAGCACAAAGACTTCTGAGAAATATAAAACAATGAATTGTGCACATTGAGCATGCTGGTCAATGGGGAATTACTTCAACACATTCTCCTCAATCACAGAAAATTTTCCACTCCATTTGCGCCGCGTTCAATGGAAAGGAATCATGCAAGACCGACGAGACGTAAAATCATGCATGGCTCTCGTATACCTTGCATGGTTAGTGTTCCGTTCAAGAGGATCGTTACATTTAGTGCAATGAAGGGGAAGTGAAATACCACTTCCAATGCCATTTCCTTCAGTAAAGGCCTAAATGATTACATCCAGCAACGCGGCTGAAGTGGTTATGTAAGCGTTCGATATCATCTAATACACACTGATCAATGTCAGTGATCAATGATCGCGTTCCATGGGAGATGTTACCGCAAATGGCTTATGCGTTACTGCAATGGTTATTTCCCCCCGTTGTGAATGGTAAGCCGTTGCGTGGTCTGACCCCATGTGATCCACCACAGGACTGCCCAACGACCTGAAGGTGTACTGGCGTCAGTACCCGTGGGCCCTGGGGCGACCGCTCTGCAAAATACGCGCCCTCATCTCCGAGATGTGAGTACTCCGCACGCGTTGACTGATCTCATTATCTCACCGAGCTCAACATCAAAGCCACCTCAGATCCTGGCTAATGAGATAATCATGTTATTCTCATAACCAAAATCCTCCCCCGTTTCTGCTCAAAGCGTTTTGTTGCACTACCTCGTCCACACAAGGTAAATGAGGTTCGACTTACTCCGGTGTTATTTTCCACCAAATCCGGCCGATCACATGCCTCGGCACGGCGGAGCGGTGTTAGACCGGTGGAGCGCCGAGGCGGCGATGTTTTTCATCTCACGTCTCGGCTCTCCCCGGAGGAGCTGCTGTAATCACAGTCTCCCGCGGAGGTGGCAGTCGTGACAGCGGGCGTGTTTTCACCTTGGAAGACACCCGCCGCACGTGACCTGGCGTCGCTCCCCGTCATTCGACCCCGCCCCGGCGCTCCACGAGCCACGCGCGAGGAATGGGAGACTCGAGAGCCGGCGCCGGCATCGTTTGTGTCAATGAGGACTCTTTAAAGCCGCGGAGGAGCTACGAGGGGCATTCCACGATAGATCGTACCACTTTTTTCCAATTTGACACCCTCATCTCTCGGAATTTGACGAGAATTGGTCTCAGGGGTAATCAGGGGCTCTGAATCCACCTGTAACAATTTCAGGCTTATCAGATAAGTATTTTTTGAGTTATGGTGTATAACATTTTTTGGATCTTGCTTTGCAGCGCAAAGTTTGGCGGGCTGTAACTCTAAGACGGATTATTCAAATGCCAAATGTTATATAACATTGAACTTGCAATGAAACAGAGATTAATATGTATTTTTGAAATTTCGAAAAATACGCTATTTTTGATATATGACATATCGGGTTTTATTTCATTTGTATTTTTTGGACTTTGGAACCAATTTTTTTTGAATTTTTATTTCTTTAAAAAAATATTTGGCTCATTGTTAAGAAGTATGCAAAAAATTAGGAAGGTGTTCTTTCTATAAATGTATTTATTTTACGTCACGATAACGGTTTCGAATAGTGATTTCGGGAGGGGAGCTTACAACGGGCGTGGTAAAGCTGCCTAGTGACATCACGGGTTACTGAAATTTCAATTCAAGTCTGAGTCATCTGAAAAAAGTGAAAAGAGGGTTCATTCAACCCTCTTTCCTATAAGCGCGAGGGTGGAAAAGGCTGTTTGGTTCTGACATTGTTTTGGACGCCAATGACCATAGCTGTCCGAGATGAAAGTTACAGGACGCATACATGGTGTCCTCCAGAGGTCTCACAACTTGTATATCTGGGAATTTTTCAATGTTACATGAGGTCAGGTCGGTCACGTGACATCACTGTTATAAATCAATGGGGAAATATAAAAACTGTTATTTTGGCGCCGAGAATGATCTAAAACTATCCCACGTACATGGTATCGTGATTTCATGCACTCCTTGCAAAGTCCAATGCTTTACTTTTGCATTGTTAACCTTGCGTGACGTCATTTATGACGTCACTAGGGTCGTACGAGTTTTTCGTCAATAACTCCCGATCAAATGGAGCTAGAGAGTCGGGAAAGCCACCAATGGACTCGGGAAGACCTTCCGAATCCAATGATATGCCCTATGATACCCTTTACCCAGCTTCGTGACCTGAGGGGCTTTGACCTGACCTTGACCCGAGGTCAACTACTTAAGTTGACCTCACCCTAGCAAAAAGTATACCATTCGATGCACCTGAGCTAGGCGAACACAATGATGCCAAAATCGCGGCTCTGCGGCCATTTTTTGCGAAGTTATTTACTAAAAACCGAACCCGTAACTTCAGTCACGTGACCTGACCTCAGACGCTACCGGTTAACCTGAGACCTTAAAATCGGGTACCAATCGCTGCGACTTGTAACGGCACACACGCTCGTTTTTTCCGCAAGGCTCTAGCTCTATTAGAAGCGAAACAGCGTGCTGGGGTCGTATCAACCCCTCCGAAACCCATTTTGTTTGCGAGAAAATGAGGAACTTAGGTATAGAAAGAACACCTTTCTAATTTTTTGCATGTCGATTTGCAATGACATGAAGATTATTTTGAAAAAAATAAAAATGTGAAAAATTTTGGTCCCAAAAGTCATTAGAGGCAAATGAAAAAGATTAAGGTTTTTGCTCAACAATGAAATTTTTTCTTTGGAGTTTTTAAATAGTAATATTAATTTTTGATTCATCGCAAGCTTAGTGTTGTTTACTTTTTGTTGGTTGCTTAACCCGTTCTTGAGTTATAGGCCATCAAACTCACCGTTACATACCGAAGTTAAAAACATGTAATGCAATATAACTCAAAAAGTTTTGATCTGAGAAGTCTGATATTTTGCCAGGCGTCTTTGGGGCCTATGATTACCCCTAGGACCGATTTTCATTAAAATCTGAGAGATGAGGGTGACGGGCCTGGTACGATCTATCGTGGAATGCCCCACGAGTGAATCGCGGTGATTATGCCAGGCTGTTGCTGCAATCCACGGCAGGAGGAGCTGTGGAATTTCAATAAGATGTCGAATGCCAACTGTTTTGCCTCAGTTTTTGGTGGTGAATACAGGTAAGCACTGTTCACAGCGGAATCCGCAACTTGAGCTATTAACCTACCAAAATGACGCATACGATATTGATAAAATTATGACGTGCCTGCAATAATCAATTGCACATACAATGGGACTATTTCTTTAGTAAAAACGAGTTAACTTGTACGCAATCACTGGCTGCTGAGTTCTATTGATTAACTTCAACAAAAAAAAAACAGAGAAGAGAGGGATTGTTAAAAAGCTTTTTTATTTTCCACATCGCTTTGCCTCATTATGAGTTGTAACAATTTACTACACCTTTTATGTAATCCAAAGCTGAGGCGATAAACACCGCACCTGTACCCTGCCCTTGAACACCTCACTCTTGCCAGTCACCCTACACCACCCTACTTGTCTCAGTCTTCTACAACCCTCCACAGGTGTCAACCCTTGGCGCTAACACGACCCCCTTCTCCCCGACAGGACATCGTACGTGTCGGCACTGATAATAGTGGCGTTCAGTTTGGAGCGCTACCTCGCCATCTGCCATCCGCTGCTGTCGTACACGATGGCCGGAAGACGGAGGGCCACGCGTATCATCGTGGGCGTATGGGTGCTCTCCCTCCTCGCGGCGGCCCCCTTCGCCTTCTATACGGACGTGCACTACATCGAGTTCCCCAGCGGTGAGTGGCTGGCAGCTGCCTATCCATACGGCGCTCCCCAGCGGTGAGTGGTTGCTCTTATGGAGTTTAAATAGCCAGTGGTCTAGCGCACGAACGTCCACTAAATATAGTTCCCCAATGGAGAGTGACCACGCTTACATTGTTCAGTAAGTACCTTATATAAGCAAGTTTCTGAGCGCTGAGGCTTTAGACATAAATGTTCGCAGTCTGCAGGCTACAGAAAACCTTTAGAAATCGAGATGGAAGTGGTAAGTATTTCTTGAACGAGTGTCTGAGAACTACCTATAAGTCCCTACTCGGAGCGGTGAGTCGGTGTTTTTCTTAATGGATGCCTGCTAATTCAAGTTTCTCAATGGTAAATACCGGTTGGGGAGACGACGCCTCCGGCAGAGAACTTGCCTTTGAACGAACTGCTATAGGGTTTCATTGAAAAAAGAACGGCGCCATTGCTCTGCGGCATCAATAGAATTTTGTCCCGCTAATGGCTTTAGAAATGGGCTCCAGGGTTTAGCTTGACAATCAATGAGTTCCTTATGGTTTTGTAGGCGAGCACGAGCATGAGTTTGCAATAGTCACAAAATAATTAATGAATGCATGTTCTTACCTTTCATGTAGACAAAGGACACCAGATAAACCTTTTGCACTCAATGCAGCGCATATCACATTACTAAGAGCACATATTCTGGGATTCTGAATAATTCCTGGGAGTACAGGTCGCCAATATCGAGTTACCGGGGACGACGCGTGTGCACCGCGCCCCAGATTCTCGAGTAAGTGCTCACCTATTGATCCTCTAATGGGGTGTGCGTGGAACACTAGCCAACTTCCGTAAAGGCGGGTTCAGAAGCACCTCGTCTCCGTGTTCAGTCCATTCAGTTTCTCAGTGTCAATTCGGCCGCGCGTTTAGATTCAGAGGTTGTTTGACGCCAGTTCGACTCTGTCCAAACACAAGCTGATCGGGGACTGTGACCACGACCTGAACAGAGGCCGTGACAGCTGCGACCGACCGCTGACACCATCGACCCACAGTCGACATGGCTGGTCCGCAGCTGGGACAGAGATTGCCGGGGATCCGATCTGACTGTCGACGACGGTCCAATCACTGACGCCGGGGGGGGGGGGGGCACCTCTGGCGAGAAAAAGGAAGCGGCCATGTTTGCCCTAGCAATTGAATGCTCGGGCACATGTAAAGATGAAGGGCGGAGCGCATCACCTGGAAAAAAATCCTGTCACATTTTAGCAATGAAATGCCAGGAGATATTAACCGAACACGGAAAATCAACCGTGGCTCAGCTCTAACCTACCTGAAACTTTTCCCTATTTAGGGTTTAACTTGAAACACTGGTCATTCTTTCTTTGAATGTATTAATCTTTAAAAGTTATTTCAACTGAGTCAGTTGGTCGACTGAAACAAAAGGCTAGTTATCTAATGTATGCATTGATGATGTTCTCCAGGTAACCGTTGCCTTGTTTCAGGTTCTGGCATATTTCTGGAGACAATCTGCTACATGCCGAACGAATGGCCTCTCATCTTCAGTTCGTTCGTCTTCTTCATCGTTCCTATGTCGATGCTCATGTTCATCTACATCTGCATAGGTATAAAGGTGAGTCACTTAAGACAGGTCACTAAGGCGTCCAAAGTGCTGGACAATATCATAAACAGATGATCCTGTTTTTTTATGCTTATTTTGGTTTTTAGCAAACAAGTTTGTAAATGTAGCATTACTTAATTCAATCGTGCTGGAACTGGAAGTACCGACTGCTGATAAGATTCTTTTAGCCGGTTACTTCTAATGTTTATTGGCAAGCTTAATACCAGGCTCTCATATTCAAATTGCATACAGTTTACATGAAATTTTTCCTTAAACCTTCGCCAAGTCATTATTTTTCCATCCTCAAGGAGGTCTCCTATAAACTTTATTCCATTTTTTTCCAGTTAGCATATCGTATCACTTTAAATTTAGTCATGTCCGAGTGGAAAATGTTTTCATTTCAAACATCCTCATCTTCCACGATGAAAGACTTAGAGAAGGAAATCCAGGTAGAGACTGCAACAGATGATCCTGTTAGTGTTTTATGCAATTCTTGTTATGGGGACGCATACATATTATAAACCAGTGTTCGTCATGGGCCGCAAAATCCCAGTCCAGCCCGGCCCAGGCCCATGGTTTCACAGCCCGGCCCAGTCCGAGCCCATTCGTGGATAAAAGTATCAAAGCCCAGCCCGGGCAAGCCCATCAAAACTGAATTGATTAAAAATAATGGACATCACACAGATATTATGTCATCCAAAGGTAGCAATGAAACAATCTTTTGAGAGCACCATGCACAAAGTACATTGCACATGTATGCTTCATTAACTCGTTCTTGAATCTTGCACAGTAATAAGCTATTTATGGCTTTCGTCTCAGTCGCAAACCCCTCAGTCCACGTTCCAGTTCTTGGCCCAGCCCATCCACAGGCCATCGGTCCTTAATATTTGCGGCCCCAGCCCAGCCCGTAGCCCAGCCCGCCCATGGCCCATTGGGCTGGCCCGGCCCGTGGCGAACACTGTTAAAAACGCATTTTTATGTTGGTGCTGAGCTGATTAGGTGCACAGACATTTCCGATTCAGATTGTTCAACGTAACTTTTTATATTTTACTCTATCAATGCTCTTCAAAACGGCATGAAATATTGTTATTGTTGAAGTTCATATCAGGCTGGATGATAAATCGACTCATTCGTGTCAAACAAGGTGCGCGCGAATCCTTATTAAAGTCTGAGGAAATGACATTGTATGCAGATGGTGTGTTGAAAAATATCCTCCAATGATATTGTGGGAAAAAGTTGAGAAAACTTCTCCAAGAGTGTGGTCTGCCGTGACCGAAATGATGGGGGTGAGAGCTCAAAAGATACAAGGAAGTTTAATTGACGAGCGATTGGTTTCTTGTTTTGGCGAAAGTTCTGTGAACAAAGGCTTAACTTCAGCAGCGAATAAATCTTTCGTTGCTGAAAACACAGCCCCTGTCTTTCTCGTGATTTGGTAAAATTTCACGGAATATGAAAAAGCTAACGGTTTGTTTTACTGTGAGCTACTGTAGCTAATGCCATTAGCACGATTACCGTTCATCTTTTTATTGTTCATAAAATCTTACTCTTTTCATTTGGTTTTTGTTCTGATTCCGGGCTGTGCTGTCTGATACACAGGTACCTACTGATATTCTTACATTTGCAATCTCAATAATGAATGCATTTTCAATTGCCCAATTTGTAGCGATTAAGCAAATCGATGCGTGCATGTATCCTATCTATGCATGTATCGCTTCTCGTGCAGTATGCATGCCTGATTTACGTATCTGGTTTCACAGTGTGCGAAGGGCATTAATGTGCTCATGGGTTTGTTTTGATGAAGTTTGCCCCATTCCGTCACAAGCAGTTCCACCGACGCGTAATATTGCTAAGGTTTAGCGACAATCAGTTCCTTCACCTTTAGCATGCATGTTACATCACACATCGTATATCATACAAGGATATGGTTAGGTATAGGATAACTGCATTATCCACATATATAACCAAAGAAATTTGCATTGCAATCGGCAGCCACGAGCGACACTTTTGAACGTATGTATTATGCAACAAGGTTTCCATTTTATACATCAATGTGAAGAGGCTGCACCGTGCATATATAAAATGCGATTTGTGCGTGCCTGCCTAAAATGAGCAGTCACTGGCATAGGCGGTGGAACGGGGAGGGCACCGGGGCACCGTGCCCCCCTTTGATTTTGGCATTTTAACATTAGCCCTATGGGCGTTGCATGGAAAGAATGGAACCAAAAGTCGGCAGTGCCCCCCCCCCCCTTAACCCTATTAGTGGCAGGCTCCTGGCTACCCCATATTAGTGGCAGGGGGGGGCTGTTTACGACCCCCCCTTGATATCTCGAGATCTAACGGGCCGATTTTCAAAATTCAAACGCAATCGATTTGGCTCAACGAGATCTACATTTCTAAAAAAAAAAAAAAAAAATGTCAATAGGGGGTAGAGGGGGGTAAAAAAGGGCAAATTGCAGATACATTTCAGACTGTTTATCACGGCCAGGTTTCTGAACCAATCTTAACGCAACTTTTGCCGATCGATAGAGAATGAACCAGGAATTCACATGGATCCTAAAAATATGCATTTTCAAAAATCATAGGCGGATACAGATCATTGAGATTGGGGGTACACAAAAAGTATAGTAAATAAGGTTTTTGTTGGTACTGTTTCTAAAAAGGGTGGCAATGGTCTTGTTATGTTACAATTTTCTTATGAGAGAACGACTAAAATTGTATTGGTCATGCATAGGCGGTGTCAGGGCACCTATGCTGGGAGGTAAAAAATAACCCCCTTTTTGGACGCCTGGATCCGCCTATTATAGCAAAAACGTGTCAAAAGAGGATGCACAATAACTTTGTATGTTATCACATGATACCTTTCATTCACTGTTCGTAAAACTGGTGCAGCATCGTGATCTTCGCCCAAATGACTCGCTTCACGAATAGGACCCCCCAATTCCCAGTGCTCTGGAGCCGCCCCTGGTAAAGTTATGAACTTGAAATTTTCAGGGAATGTGCCCAATTTAGTTTTAGGAAAAGTCAGAAAATTTCAGCATCGTAGCTTCAGCGGTTTCGGAGATATTCCCGAAAAACCTGAGGGGTGGATAAAAACAACCCCCCTGCCACTAATAGGGTTAATTGAGGGCGTTCCGCGGCTATTGGTCACAGGTAGGGTGAGAGATGCACGACCGATGACTATCGGTGACTATCTGGGACTCTCGGTGACTATCAATAACTATAGGTGACCATCGATGACTATCGGTAATCCACTCGCCATCGACCCCGACCGGCGGACCCCACCACTGATGGACTGACGGCGATGGACTGACACCGCTCTCCCGGAGCGACTGGAACCCGGAGTGAGTCCGGAGTGGAGGTCAGGGCTCACTGCGCCCATTAACCACCCAGCCGCGAGGCCCCAGTGAGTGTTAAATCACCGTCAGACGAGTTTATCACGCGCTCGGATAAAAAGTAACTCACGGTTAGACGAATTAGCAGTCACAGAGCGGGTTGTGTACCTATCCCGCCTCACCTCAGGGCAGTGGATCTACTGGATACACATTTTGATCACTGACTTCTCTTTACCGTTGTTTGTTTGTTTGTTTGTTTGTTTGTTTGTTTGTTTGTTTGTTTGTTTGTTTGTTTGTTTGTTTGTTTGTTTGTTTGTTTGTTTGCTTGCTTGCTTATAAGTGGTTAATCAATGGGCTGAAATCCAATTAGGTACTAATTATTTCCTTGGGTAAAACACACAAGGAACTATACAGAAGACTGATAAGAGTTGTGAGCTTAAAGCTCAGCGAAGACGCAAACATGATAAATGCTTCTGCACTACAGGCGATCCGACATTCCTATCAAAGCAACGTTGGCAGTGTGTATTCGATTTAGACCGAAACAAGCCCTGCATTCGTCGGACGGAGAAAAAGAAACAAAACCCAACGACAGATACGAATATAAGAAAACTCAATTCAATGACAGACTCCGATGTAAGAATGAAATCCGTAGGCGGTTGTCAAAACGCGAACTGCTATTCCTGTTGCATAGCGGTTTTTGTGGTCGGAATGGTTCACTAGACAACACACTACTATTTTTCGGTCCAGTTTCCGATTGTGATGATACAGACGGCCGGCGCATAACGATGGCATGTCAGACATGTAAAGTCTAGCTAGCTGATCATGGCTGATCAGAAGACTCCAACTTTTGTGCCGTCGGTACCTACGTTGTAAATACCACCATCTCGAGATGCTTCCTCAGCAACATGTGCAAAATGTCACACTTGCTCGAAACAAGTTGTGGCTAAGCGACCATTTCATAACCGCTTTCTTATGGACGAGTTTCATGGCTAACTTATTCTGGCGATTATTTCAAGCCTGGCAATCCACATGATCCGCATATTCCGAAATTTATGTCATTCCAGGCTCAATACGATGCATCAGTACAACGGCAAACGGCTCCGTCGCAGCTTGAACAGATTACATCAACTCAAATGTGAATCCATAAAAACATTTCATTAGCATACCCAACTTTGGAGTTATTTTATCACGTTCAGTCATTGCCCAACGCATTTCGACATTCCTCATGATGAGCAAAGGATGTGTAGCTGACAGTTTAATCATTCGATATCGGAGTGTAGTCATCAGAAAACGCGAAAATTGAATTAAATATTGGGGATTAAATGTCAAGCTCAATATCGCAATTTGCATGTGTCAAGTCAACACGTCGAAATGCAAAATTTCTGGAAAAAATATGATGTGACTACATGATTACGAGAAACACTCACAATAAAACCTGCACATATGGTTGCTCTCAAGAAACTGATCGTGCCGATTTCTGGCATTCCCTTCCCATACAAAGCTCCACGAACGAAATGGATGGCCGCCCAAGACGTCCGAATCTAAACATCGTCGAAAACTTCCCAGACAAAAGGTCATAATCTGCTTCCATCGCCTAAAGTCGCACCACTTCCCAGCTGGTTGAAATGTCTGGGACGTGGGACACATGCTCATGGCGCTTCTGAGAGCGTCTGAGCACAGATATCCCAGCACCGCGACGCCATATCCGCGGCGAAGCCCCGCGTTCGCCGCTGGGCCCACCAATCTTGCACCTGGGTACCGGGAGGCGCCGCGCTGTCATCCCGGAGTCCACGGAGACCCCGCCGCAGTCTCCCACGGGGGAGGGGCCGTCCCTATCATTTGGGGAGAGGAGGAATTGTCGCTGCTTGGAGAGCTGACACGCACGCTAGCATGAACGCACGCTGGGTGAAAGATGTATTTTCCTAGGAACAGACGCAGACAGGCAGACAGAGAAAGGGAAACATACATAATGCATGCAACCATACATACATATTATGCAAATTGTTTACACATTATAAATGTTAAAGTACACGCAGTAACACAGCGAGACAGGCAAAAGGCACACAGACGCGCACCCCTTATCACGCGTCAATCGTCATCTGACTCGGTCCACCGCTGCCTCGATCAGGCGACGCCGATGTCGGTAGCACCTCCCACCGATCCATCTATCCTGACGCTGCCCGTCGGCTCCCTCTCCCACCCTCCGTCATCCTCTCTCTCTCTCCCCTCTTCCGCCTCATGCTCTTCCTCCCATTCTTCCCTCCGCTCTGCCGTCGATAGCGGGCGGAAAGGCGGAGCGTTCGCCGCCATCCGGAGGAGGTCAGCAAAGGTCGATAACTCAACTTGGGCCGCCGCGCGGCTCTGACACCGAATCCGACCGCAGCGCGAGACAGAAACATCGTCCGCGGAGACCAACAGTTGATTCCCTGTTTGGTGGTAACGGACGAACTTTGGAGCGCCACAAAGTCTTTGTTTGTTTTGTGGTTGATAATGTTGAGAGGATCTTCAAGGCAGGGCCCTATATAGCTGTAAGGGGTTAATGACGCGTGTCTCGGGCAGTCAAATTCACTGCCATTCAACATGGTGATTCTGTAATGCGATTTACTGCTGAACTGGAGCAACAAATTACTCTTGACTTCGTATGAATAATTTAATCAGTTCCCATTTCGCAAAGGCTGTTCATCAAATAGCGTTTACTGAAACGTCGCATTGCTCGTAATCCGTGTTTACTATCAGTTTCCCCTCCAATAAAGGCACATATTTGCACTAGTGTTTACGAAACCATGTAGTAACCAGTATTGAGCTCACACGATTTGGGCTTACTAATTGTTCGAACTGCGCAAAGCAGTCACCGTCATCAACGAATAAGTAGGAGGAAGTAAAATCTACTAAAGCTAAAGCAAAAAAGCTATTAAACTCAGGTAGACAGATAATACCTAGATCTGTGTGCGTCTATCAGCCCTCAACATCCACTGCACATGCTCATTAGTCTCGTTATTCATTAACACGAAGCTACACCCGACAAAAAAACCTCCCCGCCCCTACACCATCCCACCAAAGACAAGTGGCCCACGACAGCGCCGCCCGTGTTTGCTGAAGCGCCGCCATGTCTCTCGGCGGCCGAGCATTTCTGGTCCCTGGGCGAGGGTCGTTCAGATAGACGACGTAGGACGATGGTTACGATACGTCCGGCTGGAATGGCAGGCCGTTGGCTCAGTCTGATGGGCCCGACGATACACGGGAAGCGTGTTTTTTATGGAGGGAAAATATTCATGCGAGGTGATAAGTCGTGATAATGATGCGGCGGAGCTGGAGTGTGACTTGTTATGACGAGGATGGGAGATTATGAGGATATGCAGGAAATCGAATGTGATATTTCCTGAGACGGGCATAAGAAAAACAGATGAGGTTTATTTGCCTAAATAAATAGGCATAGTCTCCATACAGCAGGCATTAATTCCCTCCTACTAAAAAGAAAAATTACATCTAAACTGCCAGTCTTCTCCTCCTTTCCTATAACCATAACTATCCACAATCCGAGACACATCCTAAATCGAAAAACAACACCTGGATTCCCCGGCAGTGACAACTCCAATTTCCCCCAGGCAATCTAGAAGCCAGAAATTAGTTCCGATAGGCCGATAATGGAATTCCGAGGATTCTCTGTCGGCCTGTCATTGGCGTCAGGAGAACAACAATGGTGCCGGTCGTCCGCACAGCATCCCTTTGTGCCTCCATTCCGTGTTCTCCACTCAACACGTCACTCTCAGGTATCGGACTATGGCACGAGAATACCGGATCCCTTCCGGCAAAATTGGTGACGATAACTATACCAGACGCTGGATTTGTGGATTCAGCAGGCGGTAAACAGGTGTCTGGTAGATTATCATTTTGATTGGAATTTGCAGTGCAGTAGATGCGAAATAAACGCAAGGTTTGTTCACCAAGCGAATTGGCGAAGCAATCCTTTTTTCGGTATAGATGTTTTGAATTCTCGGCTACCATGATAACTGTTCTTACAAGGAGCTTCAGGGGTGGATATTTGCGCTAGAGCTGTTGAAATAGTTAGTGCCTACATCGGATAAAATGCATGATGAAGATAATATATAAATTTAATGGAACAGTCCAACTATCATTGTGCTAGGAGTAGGTTATAGATATATTACTATCTACTGATCATCTTTATGATCTCAAACTACACAAACACAATTTGCAGCAATTCCTACAATCTGTTGGGCCAATTAGCGGAGCGAATTGCACCCATCGGTCCAATCGAGCACGAACCGTGCCTCGGCGTCCATTCCGCTCCACAGCTCACGGATTCTTTCCGACATTGCACGGCCCAGCTGCGCCGTCGTCTCCGCAAATGTGCGGCGCTCGCTCCTCTGCTGTGTCCAGACTAGGATTGGACAATCACTGAGCGGAGCGGTCCTGCGGCGCTCTCACGCGCTGAGTGCCCGACGCCAGCCGCAGCCGCTGATTGACCCCCTCCCAGCTCCCCCAGCCCCCTTCCCCCCACGGCACCCCCCCCCCCCCCCTCCACGGCCCCCTCCCCCCGGCGGCCACTGGTAATGGACACGGCGCCAGCCGCACTGGACCGTGTGATTGTCGTACAAAAGAACGCATGGCCGCCGTTAATCTACGGCCCGGCAGGTGCGAAGGAGATCTGGGGCTTCGCTAGCCGACAACGGGCTTTATCGCCGTTTGTAGCTCGGGAGCTGAAAATGGTTGCTGGTCAGGCAAGGGAGGCTAGACTGGCTAGAGCCCCACCTGAAACGAAAGTTGTTAGTGTATGATACGCATGTTGTTTAATTTTAACCCATGTTGTTAATTTTAACAGCAACGCATGTTAACGCATGTTGTTTAATTTTAACAGCATTCCAGCCTTGAGCCTGCATGACACCAGACATTTAATCATATGTTTTCAAGACAATCCGTAGACGGAAGAATTGTACCGAACATTATATTGTATCATTCGGTTCGTTCTGTTCGGTATAGCACCATTGCGTTCTGCTTGCATCAAAACCTTCCAAAAACAACAATACTACATGAGCAGCATTTTTTATCGTCGTACATTTTCTTATCATTCCATGATCCGTAAAAACTACTATTTTTGTTCTGTTCAGAATAGCAGCGGCCAGCCCTCGCTGTTTGACCTCTCTGTTGACCCTCTTTCAGAACGTTATCTATGAAAACAGCGAGCAGCGTCTAATGCCAGACAGTTTGTCTTCCGTCCGTGATATGTCCATTGATCCGGACATATCTGGAAACAGGTCAAGGTTCATTCGTACAACAGTTCGTCTTACATTTCCCGGCGTCCTAAAACAGAAGTGGAGTGGTTCTATATATCGAATAAATACAACCGCTTAGCTCCTGAGAGGCCGCAGAAGCAAGCAGTTGCTCCCCCAGGGTTTCCTGATTCCCTGTTGCTGATGACCGATTTATAATTTTCTCGTTTCTCAGATTCATCGTGTGGAAACGGTGGGCGGCAGCACACTGGGTCCAACCGGCTCCTGAGAGGAGCGGAGGTGGTCCCACAGTTAACCCAGGAATCCCCTACCACTGTTATAGTTAACCCACCTCCCGTTTTCCCTGCCCCAGATTCATCGTGTGGAAACGGTGGGCGGCAGCACACTTGGTCCCACCGGCTCCGGGGAGGCGCGCAGAAGGGGCAACCGGAGAGCCGTCCTCCGAATGCTCGGTAAGAGCGATACAGGGGGCAACCTGGGGGGCCGTCCTCCGAATGCTGGGTAAGAGCGGCACAGAGGGCAACCTGGGGGCCGTCCTACGCATGCTCGGTAAGTAAAACACGGGGACGAGGAGGGCCGTCCTCCTCTGGTTGCTCTGTAAAGAAGGCACAGAGAAACAGGATGACCGTGCTCTGAGTGCTCTGTAGAGGGCACAGAGGCGGTATGAGGACCGGCCGACGGCCGTGCTCCAAATGTAATTGATAAGTACGGTACAGCTAGGAACAACAGGAGGGCCGTACTCCCATTCGGTAAGGACCACGCAGCGGGAACAGTGCCCCAAATGCTCGGTACTGATGGCACAGGGGCAACAGGAGGGCCGTAATGCTACTGATGATTAGCTCCGGTGAAAATATATCTGTAAAAAGAAATTGCAAGCATAAAAGTAGGATTGTTCTACGGGCCAATGAATTCAAAGCAACTGTTGCCTACATGATGGAAGCATTCCCATATTTTCAGGATCTTGATAGCTTCTCTTCGCTAGCTAGTTACGTTACGGCATTTACAAATAACGAATAAAATGTTATGCGGACGTTGGAATCTGACATAAGGAAGTGCCGAGGGAAGGGAGAATGAAAATGACCTGTCCTCGGCGTCTGTCGGCACTTAGATGGATGACCGGTCAGAGCGATAAACGACCTGTCCTTGTGTCAATCATGCGAGATATGACCGCACAAAAGTGGGACAGTTCGGCTCATCAGAGCTTGTCTCAGCTGAGCCAAATCCGAAACTGCTACCGAGTGCGTTCAGACGCGTGAGAAACGTGACGTTGACAATGATGAACGTGATATTGCTGTTCTGTGTTTAGTAAAGAATATAATTTCTTGGATGCTTCGTCGTGAGGTAAATATCAACTATTCATGCTGACTATGCGTGTTTGTCCTTATTTCAGTTGCGGTTGTCATTGGATTCTTCCTCTGTTTTGCGCCCTATCACGCCCAGAGGCTGCTGTACATTTACGGGAAGCAGCTACCAAACTACCGAGAGATCAACGAGTACATGTACTACACCACCGGCTGTTTCTACTACGTCTCGGCAACAATAAACCCGATATTGTACAACGTCATGTCGGCCAAATACCGCCGAGCGTTCAAGGTGAGTGATCAGCGTGTCGTGGTAAAATTTGATCGTGGTTAACACTGGATAGTGCGCAATGCGGTAAAAGGAGTATTTACGTGCTGCATCATGCATGCATCGAATAATGTGTTTCAAGATAAAATGAACAATAGCCTGAATGTTCAAGACTACAAATCGCATAACCGACAAAGTTCCGATAGCCTGTTTCTTATGTTGCTACATGGATTTCGCGCGCCAGCCACGCATCAATGACGTAAGATCGTACCTACTTAGTTTTGAAATGTAATTATGCAACTGCGTAATCATGTACCTATCTGTACTGTCACTTCAAAGCTTATCAAGTATAAAGGGAAACTTTTGATTTAGATTATTCTACAATTGCCTTCGAACACAATTCAAAAGCAATATCTAACAAGAGACGGAGTTCATAACTGGCAGGTATTGTCAAACTTCACCAATGTGTAGAAGCTCAACCAAGCTAAACTTGAGCCCCGAATCGGTCATTGATCACTTTCAACAGGCTAACTGGGATGGCCACACACTAATCCTCAAACTTGGCTGTGGGATACCTGTGGCGTGCCGAACCCTCCAAGCGTCTCATTTGGAGCGTAACATATAGATGTCCGACGAAATGAAGCCATGAAATATTCAAGCGTCACATCCGAGCGCGTCCCCAGTGACGAGCGCGGGCGGCCTGTCAGTCGCAGATGACACACGAGTTGGCCTTTATCCAGCTCACGATTCTGCTACGGTAGAGTCGTGGTGGGCAAAGTGCAACAGGGCACCATATTTTATTTCACATCCTGGGTTTTAAGGCTGGGGCCTTTTCCGTTTTGTTATTAATTTACATGTGGTGAGGGCAGTTTAATATTTGGATAGCTGAAACGCGTATCTTACTTGGCGATTGGTTAGAAGATAAAAGGCTGATAAATCTGGTCTGGAGGATCTGAAAAGTAAAGGTACGATGTAATTCATAGTCACAAAACGGAACGAGAAAACGGATTAATTTTCTACATAGTCACAGTTTTCTTCAAACATCGTGTAGATCAAATGCAAGACACGTAGCAGGGCACTAAGCACATAGTTACCTAGTCCCGAACACGGTTAAATCGAAAAACAAATCGAAAAAAAACTTTCTCATTCCCAAAATCCCGCCTACCCTCACAGACTGTTGAATGCTGACCACTCCGCCCTGACATGTCAACTGACCCCTCCCTCCTCCCCCTCAGGAGACCCTGTGCGGCCGCCGGTCGCCGCTAGGTGTCAGCACCAGTACCACGGTGATGGCGCTGTCCCGCCGCGCACGGGCCACCTCGGGGCCGTGCGCCGGCTCCGGATCGAGCCCCCGCGCTCTCTCCTCGCCCTCCCTGAACGGCACTCTACCCGCCGGGCGGCGGGCGACCCTGCGCATCAACGGCGTCAGTCATGACGTCTCCATGGAAACCAGGGTGTGAGTGATGTGTCAAACTTGTGAGGGTGAGTGGTCAGATGGCAGCTGAACGATACTATTTTCTGGTGGTTCGGTCATGTGGCGTTCGGTCACCTATAACAGTAGCATACAGTTCTAGAATTGTTGATAGATAATTTCAATACCTATCGTAGATGCAAAAGGTTAGATATAGGTGATAATAGATTTGTATTCAATAGGTAGTAAACATAATAATTGCCCATAAATTCTCACAAATAATCCACATGCACCGTTAACCTTTGTCGTTAGTTGACACTGGCTAGGCCTTCACCATTTGTTAAAATTATAGTGGCGCAGAGCGAGCATGGAAGGTGGAATGCGAGCTTGAAGAAAGACGCCAACCTGAAGTACCGTAAGGTGGGGCTATTTGAGACAGTGGGGCTATTTGAGACAGTATTTAAAATCGTTATAAAATAAAAACCGTTTGAAATTTATGCTTATTTTTGCTCAGTCGAATTTACTGCTCGATTCTACACCTTCCTGAGCAAAAATATCACATAAAAATCAAACGCTCTTCATTTTATAGCGATTTTAAATACCGTCTCAAATAGCCCCACTGTCTCAAATAGCCCCACTTTACGGTACACACTACACACCTGTGAAGTTATATGAATGTGCGTGCGAGCGATAACTCATTTTTGTCATGTGTGCGCATTGGCATACCTATTTGTGAGGCTTGTCCTGTGAGATTGAATTGATGTTGGGCGGGCTGTGAATGACTGGTCAGATGAAATGTTGAATAGACGTGTTTTGCAATGCGCGTAGCTACCGACATCTCAACGTCCTGTCTGTCAGAGGCGAATAGTCATTCTACGCTTTGTGGTTTACTGTTATGTGAATGCTGTCACTATGGCACTGACGATCTCACTCGATTGTCAATATGCCAAATCAAAGACCTCTGTATGCCGAGGTCCATGGCCAAAGGTTAAGACAATTGTACTAGATGTTGTGGAATCTGAGATACAAAACAATCTATACTACTATTTGAACAGGATCCGTCTGTTTGTTTGTTTGTTTGTCCGCCACGCCGTGTAGTGGGTTCAATTTAGCCGGCCTACAGGGCAGACGGTATATCGTAGGGGGTTGAAATTTCCACACCTTATAGGTGACAGAGCGGGTCAGCGCCTTTTCTAGGTTCCGACTCGCTGGGGTGCACGGTTCGCGCGTGGCGGGCGCCGGAAGAACGCCAATGAAATTTTGATCGGTTCGTAGATCTTCATTGAGAGCCGGGGTCGACAAACTTTGTGAGCTAAATGCATGCCGATCGGCGGCGGGTGCCTCGCATTGGCGGATGGGCAAGTTTTAATTTGAATAAATAGTGGCGAAAATATGTGTTGATTTTCATTCCATGGGAACGGTTTGTGATACGAGTATACAAATGCACCGTGTTTGCCGCAATGCGCCACATTTGTCTCAGGGCGTCATTTTTGCCGCAAATCGCACAGTTTTGTCGAATATGGTTCGATATGGGTGCAATTTGGTGCAAAGATGCATGCTCAGTCACCGGGTGAAAATGCGCCGCGTTTGCCGGAATGCGCCACAATTATCTCAGGGCGTCATTTTTGCCGCAAATCGCACAGTTTTGTCAAATATGGTCCGATATGGGTGCACTTTGGTGCCAAGATACATGCTCAATCGCCGGGTGAAAATGCGCCGCGTTTGCCGCAATGCGCCACATATGCCACAAAGCGCCATTTCCGACAAATACGATTAAGCGTAATGGAATGGCACGAATAGGGGCAGGGCTGGGAACACTTTAAGTCTGATATTTTAGTACTGATTGGATCCAATTATTCTGTGACCTGACATGACCCGGCGGTGTTGGTAGGGGTAGGGGTAGGGGTAGTGGTAGGGGTAGGGTAGGGGTAGGGGTAGTGGTAGGGGTAGTAGTAGTGGTATGGGTAGTATTAGGGGTAGTGGTAGGGGTAGTGGTAGGGGTAGTGGTAGGGGTAGGAGTATGGGTAGTAGTAGTGGTAGGGGTAGGGGTAGATGTAGTGGTAGGGGTAGGGGTAGGGGTAGTGGTAGGGGTAGTGGTAGGGGCAGTGGTAGGGGTAGAGGTAGGGGTAGTGGTAGGGGTAGGGGTAGTGGTAGGGGTAGGGGTAGTGGTGGAGGCAAAAGCAGAACAGTGGCCCGGGCTGATCCCAGCTGGACGAGAGGTGACCTATGTGACCTGGCCTGACCCAACGTGACCGGGGCTGACCCCTTTGACCCGTATTGACCCCGTATCACCCAAATTTCATCCAACAACGCCCTCAGAACAGTTCTTTTTTAAATTCTCTTCACATTTCCGTCCATATCTATGCTTCTAGACGACACATCGATTTGAATCGAACACCATTCGAAAGCAAATTGGCTGGTGCCGCAATTTTTTCCTACCACGCAGCAAAGCAAGTGGCGCAGCCGCTTGTTTAAATATCCATTTGAGTAGGATTGCGGCTTTTTTGAAACGCTGAGTTTTTGCAGCGAGCTTTTTCTCTTAGGGCCTGCGAGATACCCGCGGAAACACATATCTCTTCAGCATTGCGCGCCACACAGGAATGCGGCTGATTCACGTGCTTTTGTGAGCGAGGTGCTTCCCTCCGGGAGAAATTCGCCGTCCCCATATGCTTAACACGGAGCCGAGCGGCGGCTGACAGGTGGCCGGCTCTCGGGAGATCGGCAGCCGACACTCGAAAAATCGACAAGCCGCCGCTGAATGCGCGTGCGAAGATGAGCGGGGTGCCGCCGTTCCGGAGAGACGGCTGGAAAATTCCACCGGCCGGCCCGGCGGCAGTGTGTTGGGCGGCGGGCGGCGGGGCGGGGTTTCCCCGTCCAGCGGCCGGCAGCGCTGAGCCGAGTCGTTCCCACGGTCTGGCGGCCAGCTGGGTGGGGGCGGGGTGGGGAGTGGGGCGGCCGATTGCCAGCCGCTTCTCCACGGGTAGGTGCTGCCACCTGCGCAGTAGTTCCACTGGCGGCCGCCAGGCCCGTGTGCGGGCCGTGCGCGGTAGTTCCGCCAGCCGCCGCCAGAGGTCACGCGCGTCGTGTCTAACCTGACGAAGCTACAAAAAGTTAGATAACTTTGATAAGAGGGACGGTAAAGCCACAATTCCAACGCTGAATGTTGGGCAAAAGCAAAGGGATCCAACACAGCCATCTGTATTTACTGTATTTACCCTTTTCTGTCAGCGATAAGCCCCAGCAATCGCACCGCTGTAAAACTCGCAAGCTGTTCACCGTGCAGGGTATTGCATTATAACCACCCACCGGCACTCTCTACGTATGTGTAATCGCTTAATAGGTAGGACGCTAAAACAAGTTAGAAATGATAGGTAGGTGAAACAAAATACAAATTGGGAACAAGTATAATTCAAATTACAAATAATTCATTGGAACAAATCAAAATTATCTGAGACCAAGGCAAATTCGCAAAGTCTTTGATCGACTAAAGACGTCTGATTTAAACGTCGGAAAGGAACAAGTTCTTTGCGGTATTTAGGCAAGTAAATACCAAGTACTTTGGCAGGTTTTCAGTACATTAGCAAGTTTTCAGTACATTACCAAGTAGCAGGTGATACAGCAAGCTGGCAGGTACTTTGGCAAGTTCAACAAGTTTTTCGTGAATATCTAAGCTTCTAGACGTCCGATTAACACGGGACGAACACCAATCGATCCCAAATTTTCTCCCTCATACTTTGATTGCCAAAGCGACGCGGAGCGAGCCAAGATATCTTGTTTAAATATCCATTTGACTAGGATTTGGCGTTATTTGAAACGCTCAGTTTTTGCAGCGAGCTTTTCCTGTTAGGGCCTGCGAGATACCCGCGGAAACACATATCTCTTCAGCATTGCGCGCCACACAGGAATGCGGCTGATTCACGTGCTTTTGTGAGCGAGGTGCTTCCCTCCGGGAGAAATTCGCCGTCCCCATATGCTTAACACAGAGCCGAGCGGCGGCTGACAGGTGGCCGGCTCTCGGGAGATCGGCAGCCGACACTCGAAAAATCGACAACCCGCCGCTGAATGCGCGTGCGGCAGTGCTGAGCCGAGTCGTTCCCACGGTCTGAGGTACCCCCAGTTTGAAGATTCGGCCTTAGAATATGTAGTTTTAAATACGTAGTTTGACGTACATCTCGGAAAAGTGAGATACGGCCAGAAATGAGTGTGGGTCCCTCCGTTCTGAAGATTCTGATCGACGCCGATTGAAATAATTCGCCGTGCATATCTCGGCTTATTGACGACCGATTGACACGGGATAAACACCGATCGATACCAAATGGCTCTGTGTGTGTGTGGGGGGGGGGGGAGGGGGTAGAGTGGCAAGTTTTCCTACCCGACGAACCCGGAATTATCCCGAGGGGGTAGGTGTGGGAGTAGAGTCGGGGGAACGGGGGGGGGCGAGTGCAAGTACCAAGTACTTTCGCAAGTACCAAGCAAGTACCAAGTACTTTTACAAGTACCAAGCAAGTACCAAGTACTTATGCAAATACCAAGCAAGTACCAAGTACTTTGGCAAATACCGAGTACTTATGCAAATACCAAGCAAGTACCAAGTACTTTGGCAAGTACCGAGTACTTTGGCAAGTACCAAGCAAGTACCAAGTACTTTTGCAAGTTCAACAAGTTTTTCGTGAATATCTAAGCTTCTAGACGTCCGATTAACACGGGACGAACACCAATCGATCCCAAATTTTCTCCCTCATACTTTGATTGCCAAAGCGACGCGGAGCGAGCCAAGATATCTTGTTTAAATATCCATTTGAGTAGGATTTGGCGTTATTTGAAGTGCTCAGTTTTTGCAGCGAGCTTTTCCTGTTAGGGCTTGCGAGATACCCGCGGAAACACATATCTCTTCAGCATTGCGCGCCACACAGGAATGCGGCTGATTCACGTGCTTTTGTGAGCGAGGTGCTTCCCTCCGGGAGAAATTCGCCGTCCCCATATGCTTAACACAGAGCCGAGCGGCGGCTGACAGGTGGCCGGCTCTCGGGAGATCGGCAGCCGACACTC